ACTTCCTGCTCCTCTGATGCTGCTTGGCCTGCTGTGTTCATCTAGCTCTACACCTTGTTATCTCAGATTCTCCAGCATCTGCAGTTCCTACTATCTATGCTACTGGGGTAATGTATTAGCATGGATTGTGGATTGGTTAACAAGCAGAATACAGGCATGGTGATGCAGTGGTTAGCACTGTTGCCTCACAGCACCAGGGACTCAGGTTTGATTCCAGCCTTGGGTGACCATCCGTGTGGAGTTTGTCTGTTCTCCCTGTGTCTGCATGGGGTTCAGTTGGGTGCTCGGGTTTCCTCCCACAGTCCAAAAGATGTGCAGGTTAGGTGGATTGGCCATGCTAAATTGACCCGTAGTATCCAGGGATGTGTAGGCTAGTTGGGTTAACTAATGTAAATGTGGAGTTACAGGGATAGGGTGGATCTGGGTGGGATGCTTTTTGGAGGGGTGGTGCAGACTCGCTGTATTGAATGGCCTCTATCTACACTGTTGAGATTCTAAGACAGAATTGGGATTAATGGATCTTTTCCATGTTGGAAGGATGTAACTAGTGGAATGCTTGAAGGAACAGTCCTAGTGCCTCAATTATTTACTACCTATAGTAATGACTTTAAGGGGCAAAATTGTTACAAAATAGGTGGGTGTGCATATTGTGATGAGAACATAAGAAATCTACAAGAAGGTATGGATGGGTAGTCGGAAAATGGGCAAAAACTTGGCATTTAATACAGGAAAGTGAGATAATTCATCTGATGGAAAGAATCAAGAGGCAGGCTTCCATTTAAACTGAGACACTCCCCCCAAAAAAAAAGTGCAGCACTCGGATCTGGCTGTTTGTGTGCATAAAGCACAAAAAGGTAAGCATGCAATTAAGAAACCAAAGGGAAATTTGGCCTTAAATGGTAGGGACCGGAGTTTATAAACAGGAACCTCCTGTTATAACAATCCAGGGTATTGCTGAGGTTCCACCTGGAGTACAGTGTACCCGTTTTGGTCCTTGTATTGAAGAAAAGGATATACTGGCACTGGAGACAAAGCGATTCACTAGACTGATTTCTGGGATGAAGGGGTTGATTTATCAACAATGGCTAAACAGGTTAGGCCTTTGTTCATTAGAGTTTAGGAGAATGATGTATAATCTGATTGAAACATACAAGATGCTGAGAGGACTTGACAGACTATATATTGAGAAAATATTTCCACTAATGTGGCAACCTCAAGCTAGTGAACATAATTGTAGAATAAGGGGACACTCACTTAAAACTGAGATGTACAGAGAGTAGTGAATATCTGGGGTTTTCTACCCCGAAGACTTGTGAAGGCTAAATCACTGAAAGTATTTAAAGAAGAGGTTTTGAAATATCAAGGAGTTTGAAGTTTTGAGGAGCTGGCCTGAAAGAGGAATGTGGTCTGAGGCAGATCTGCCTCTGATTTTAGAATGGTGGGCAGGCTTGAAGGGCTGAATGGCCTATTCCTGCATCAGCTTCTTTTCTCATTTAGATAAGCATAATGGAAGAAGGAATAGAAGGATGTTGATGGAGTGAGGTGAGAGACAGCATTCCAGATTCTAACCACTTAGTGCATGAAAAATGTTTTCTTCATGTTGTAGTTGCATTGGTCTTCACTATAGAAGGTCATCAGGAAATGGAAGAGAGTGAGGAACTCAAGATCTCTGAGACTTATAAGTATGGGGTGGTTGAGGCATGCTGCCTCCTGTAAGCAGAGCAAGTTGTTGAATCTGGTCCACTAGTTATTAGGACAGGTGGCTTACATATCTGACATCACACCGGCACTGAAACTTATATATTGCATTACTTATTTATGTAGTAGGCAAAATACGTTTTGATCTGACTGCAGCGTGCTGTTAGTGAAGAAAACCGTTCATGTATTTAGTGCATAAGAGCATTGTGGGACAGCTAACTTGACTTGTTATTCCAGTTTTTGAGACACCTTCCCCATATACTGTGCGTTAGACTGGGCACTGCTTAGGGCCAAAGGTGGTGGACATAGGCCCTTCTTGACTTTTGAGTGATGATTGGATCAGAGTTTTGTTATCATGCAGGAGAGTTTTCTTATGACTTATCTCAACTTCAAGCTTACATGGTGGGCTGGTGGCTAGGACACTGTGCAACTGTGGATTCAAATTCACATCATCTACACATCGAAAATAGGCATGGGGCAGGAGGCTTGTGATCTTTCCATTGAAGATGCATTTCTTATGGTAACCAAACAAGCATGTTAGCAAGGGCTGGTTGTAAAGGAAATCCCAAGGCAATGCCATCTATTTGGGCGTTCATAGTGTCATTGAAGCAGACTTGCACTAACCTGCACAGCTGCTGCCTTTGCTGTCTGGTTTCAAGTATCTCTGGACATCTGAATTCATTTAAAAGGCATCTGGATGGGTATATGAATAAGAAGGGTTTAGAGGGATATGGGCCAAATGCTGGGAAATGGGGCTAGATTTTTTTTTTTTTAAGGATATCTGGTCAGCATGGATGAGTTGGAACTAAGGGTCTGTTTCCGTGCTATATATCTCTCTGACTCTATAAAATCACAATCATCAGAGATTGGAGCTGGGGCTGACAAGATCCCTACCTAATGATGCACACCATCCTAGGGTCTTAAAAGAAATGGCTAGTGAGGTTGTTGTTGCATCTTTTTTTAATTTTCCAAAAGTCCCTCAATTTGGGGAACGTCTGTTAGTTGGAAAATAGTAAATGTAATTTCTTAATTCCAAAAGGTGGGGGGGGGGGGGAGAGAGTGAGAGAGAAAGCTGAAAACCATAGGTCAGTTTGCTGTAACATCTTCCCAGTGATAGATGTTAAATCCTTTATGTAGAATTGCCTTTGTAAAGAAAATATAATGGAGTGCTGAGAGAAGTTAAAGATAATAGGCAGAGTCAACATAGCACGGATAGAAGATCGACTGACCTTTAGGACATGGAGCATTGGCATAAATGGGTCATTTTCTGGTTGGAAAGATTTAATGAGTGGTAAGCCACAGGGCCTCAACTGTTTATAATTATATAAGTGACGTGGATGAAAGGAAGGAAGTATGGTTGTTAAATTTACTGATAACACAAAGATTAGAAGTTGTGAAGAGGTCATAGAGAGGCTGCAATGGCAAATAATTAGGTTAAGTAATTTGGCACAGATCTGAAAAATGGGGTATAATGTGAAATTAGCCATTTTGGAAGGAAAAATGAAAAATGTTTGTTATCTTGTGGTGAGATTGCAGAGCTCTGAAATATTGAGGGATCTAGATATTGTAGTGCATGCATCA